ATGGATGGATGGATAGTTAATGGGCATTGCTTGATTTCAGCTGAATAGCTCTAAAAACGTCTGATTTATAGTATTTTTCCTTTTTAGCTCACGCTGCCATCTTGGATTTTTGATTTACATTGGGAATCTATAACAAGTTGCTCTCATCTACCACAATACCGCATTTCAGCTCAATATCTCTAAGAATGACTGAGTTATAGTCAAAAATCCCCTGGACTTTTATAATCTGACTCGAAGCTCGTTTGACATGTTCAGCCCCAGCCCCCACCACCACCACCACCACCACTACCACCACCATAAGTTGCCTCTAGTTGGTGTATTTTTGATTAATTTGAGCAAAAGTCATAACATTTTGGGCACTTTTCTTTAAAAGAAGTTGAAATTCTCTTCATCAACCATTTGATCTGATTCTTTTCAGATGAAAATAAAGGACATTGAATTAAAAGACGGGTTTAAAAAAATATATAAAAATAGGAAATTAAAAGTTAGAACAAAAAGCTAACTACTTTATAGGCAGATATTTACAAAAAAAACTAATGTTATAAAAAGCACACGTAGATTATTATTGACAGCTGATGATAAAAATACACCAGCAGGTTGTTAAATTGTGACAGAAATATTGAATCCACTCACCAATCATCTCTCCCTGGTCATGAATCATAACTGCCAGATCTTTAAAAATCTGGTTCACGTCCATGATGTCCGACTGGAAGGAGCAGAAGAACAATTTTGGCAGATGTGTGTGTAATCATTTATTTTAAAGATGGCAGTCATGGTGAAGACCTGACAGTCTCCCACTCAGCTGTAATATAACAGATCATCTACTCCAGAGTGAGTGAGCACTTACCTCCAGCTGCCTGATGTTGGTTTCTCTCTCCTTGATTAGTTCAAGGTCCTCCTCCGTGACACCAACTTCCTCCGCCTGGGTCGTCATCGGACTGAAGTCCTCCTGGCTTCACACACACACAAAACAAAAAATAAGTAAAAATCCAAGTAAATTAATGTTTTCTGAAATTACAAGATGAGATGTTGACCGTTCCTGTGCTCAGGAGCACATGTTGGGTGTCAGTCATCTTGTTTTGAGTTCAACAGACTGAATGCAGCTCAATCAGTCAGAAACTCAAGTCCTACGTGAATAAAACCAGAAGGCTTCTTATTCATCAGCCAGAAGCTGATGTACTCTGATGTCCCCGGTCTCTGAGGGATTTGAACAGCGAATGTTGGTAGTCTGGGAGATGAGTGTTTTTCGGGACTGGAATTGAACAGAGAATTAAATAAACCTTAATGTTTTTGGTGCAAAATATTCAAGTGGGGGGAGTTACACTGTGAAGAAGAACAGGAGAGGTTTTTATTTTCGTTTTCTTGTCCGAGGCAGCACAGAGTGATGAATCCTAGAGCAGGACTATTCAACTAAACTGCTCA